AACCACATTCACAAATAAAGAGTCCGCGATGTTTACAGTACATCGCGGACTCTTTATACAAACCGTACATGTATTCATAACAAAATCTGGTATAATAGCTGATAAATACTTAGATTTAGTATGTCTCTTCAATCCGAATGGTTAACAAACAATCCTTGGTTCGATCACATAAATATTAATAATTGTAAGATTGACAGGAATAACATAAAAATATTACATTATGAAAAGGAAATATATAAATGCAAATTTAAAGAACATATTGAAATAATAAAAAATAGTAATAATAATCTAGTAAATTTATCGAATGGTATGCAGATTGATGAACAATGGTATAATGTAATAGAGGGCGTGACTTAAACTGTAATAAGGGGCGTGACTTAAACTGTAACAAATGAGTCATATGAAGTAAAAAATTGTAAGACCATGAATGAATGTAATAAAAAATAAGCCCGTATGTATATTTTTATACTTCTTCCTTTTTTTGGTTTTAAAATTAACAAAATCATTTAATTGTAAATAGAAATAACTAAAACATTGTGATTTTTAAATTGTATTTGTAAATGTAATTGTATAATTAAAAAAATGTAAATTGTAAAAAAATGTAAAATGTAATAATATAATACGTATTAATATAATGGGTAATAATATGTACGATAATAATAGATATTTACTGTTTTTAAGGTTTGGAAATTATACTCATATACGATTGTTATTCATGTGTTTCGTTGGTAATAATGTCATAGTCGATGTCATACAATTTTTATAAAAGATTTTTAAAAAGTGTTACTCAACCATCTGAGGTATGGAAAAGAATTTAATGTTGGTTAATCTTTACACGGGAAAAAAATTTTTTGTAAATTGATTTTTTGTTTTTTAAATTTTGTGTAGAATTACACTGAAGAGGGGCTCATACAAGCCTGAAATGCATATGTAATTTACAATAAAGGAATACTTAACCTCAGAGCTGAAAGAAAGTCTACCGTTTGTTAACCATTCGGATTGAAGAGACATATACTAAATNTCGTTAAATCTCGAACACGCGTGCCACCTTCATATTTCTCAACAATCTCTTTTTTCAGTTCCATTGTGATTCTAGTAATTTTTTTTAGTTTTCTGTTGCTTTTCATTTGCCTTTTTGCAATTCATGATTAATAAAAATAATAAAATTTTATTTACAAATTAAAATCATAAGAAATTTAACAAAGTTATAAACCGTGGCACCGCGAACGTCTAGTCTGGCCTGGCCTAGTACACCGATAGTGCTACTTGTTCATGGATGGCACATATAATTGAATTAAGTTGTATACCGAGCAAAATTTGTTTCATCCAAACAGGACGTATTCTGAATTGGACATATTCTAAAGCAGACGTATACCGAGGTACCACTGTAATTTATTAAACTTTGTGCCTTAGAGCACTGATAACTCTTGCAAGGTATTTGACATTGAACAAAGATAACAGTATCACTCCTGGTATAGAAAAGTTATTTAGAATTCTTTTAGAGTTTCCTTCTAAAAATGTTGGTGTTCATTAAGAATTATTTTTTAGAATAACTAACACTACTACACATAGATCCTAAATATTAAAACTAGACTGAAAATGTTGATTTTGCTAATAAGTAAAATCTCATACTACATAGCTTCTAATTATTTTGAAGAATATACTTTGAATCATAATTATAAATCAAATTGCAAAAATTAAAAATTAGTCTAGTCTTATGCTCTCTCATATTTAACATTTAATTGGAAACTATTTTTATGAATTGATGTTAGTAGTCATTTTGATTTTCCTCTTCATTTATACAAAAAAAAAATCCAGCAATGAGTTGCTAAACTTTCCTGACAATGTTTAAATCTGCTTGTGTGGTACCATCTGTTATGATTAGAGCTGAAAGTTTTTGCCAGATTTTGGGCCTAAAATCGCGGTGAAAACCGCCAATTTTTTGTCTTAAATTCACCCAAAAAAATAGCCAGTTATTTATTTCAAAAATGAGTTAAAACGAATTACACTTAGATATTTCAAATGATCCTCGCTTAAACTATGACGTCGATCGCTCAATATCGATGAATACAATGAGAATGAATGTTCGACGTCGAATGCAACTAAAGGAGCGTATTCACTATTAAGTTTATCACTTAAATTCATATCAAAAGACATAAATTTGATAAGATCAGTATTACTTGACAAAACTTTTTCCAATTTTTGAGAAAATATAGGATAGCCAGAAACAATTTCTTTTGCATTTTCAAGTAATTTGGCTTGTTCAGCTACACCGAGTCCTTGTTCTTCCAGTGATGATATAATATTTGATAGCTTGACAAGATTACAGAGATCAAATAATTCTTTATTGAGATTAACTTTTTTCTCTTGCAATAGTTTCACCAAAACGTTTCTAGCATTTGAATGAGATTTTTGTTTATAGTTCAAAGTGAAGCGCTCAACAGTATCAAAATTATCGACATAGTATTTTGCAGCATTTAACTGAAATCCCCAGCGAGTGATAATTGGTTCTGGAGGAAGATTACTAACTCCAGTTGCATTCTTAAAATCATTTTCTCTTTCTCTTGACTTCACAAAAAACTTATTCATTTCTAATATAAGCGAATTTGTTAATTTGTACTCATTCTGAATCCTAAATGCAACGTTATGTAAGGCGTGAGCGAGACACGTGACGTGATGTACATTTGAAAAAATCAATGAATTTTTCTTAATCTCACTTACTGCCTTCATCATGTATTTTGCTCGATCTGTCACTATTAACTTCAGTTTTGAATATTTTAAATCATTTGGCCACAATTTTCTAGACACATTGAGTATACATTCTTGTATTATAATGTTGTCAACTATTGAGTGAAATGTCACATCAATTAACATTGATTTTGCTTTCTCACCATTCAATTTTCCTACAAGCATGTTGACCACTTTACATTGCACTTTGTCACTAGTTTCGTCAACAATGAAATAGACATCATGTCCATTAATTTTGTCCTTAATTTCTTCTGTTACTGAGTTGAAGATAATTTTTGATGTGCCCACAGTGCTAAAAAAATAAATAACTCAATGAGACTTCGAATAAAATCATATTTCAGCTAAATTATGAGCACAATCGCAAACAGCAGCATCAATTTCAATAAAATAAACGTTTCATTAAAAAAACTAATTACAATAAAAAAGTACCTGGAACACTTTTGATCAGCTTCTTCATATATTTCTCGAGAAACAATCTCAGTTTTTCGTTATTTAATTTTTCAAGCAGAATATCTGCACTGGTGAATGCTTCAACCATTTCTTTATCAAAATCATTTCCATTTTCAAACAACAATGTTTGCGACTGTAGCGTGTTATGTTTCTTGCGTTTTGCACTGTTGAGATGTTCCGAAAGTCGTTTCTTAATTGTATCACGTTCATAGTTGACGTATGTAGAGCACTTAATATAGAGAATTGTTTTTTTGGTACGGCGAAATATATTGTCACCTAATTCCTTAATTACGGAATCAATTTTAAACTCAATTAACTGTTTTCTAGACATTTTTGCACGAAGCACATGGGAAACTGTTGGGAGACTATAAAATGATTCACACAACCAAAATTAACGTTAACAAAAAGGGAGAGTTTATTTCTACATCTAATCTGTTTGAGGGCAGCAGAGAAAGTGGGTACCAGATAGACAAGTGTTTACATAAAGGTCGTAAGTTAAGTCACCCCTCTGACACCTGACCAAAGTTCACAAACTTTTGGTGATTAAGTACAGGGTGGGAGAGGTTCCACGAAACTTGCTACGAACAATTGCTACAGAAACTAATAATTTCGCCACCTATCGCCAAATTCGCCAGTTTGGGTGAAAATAGCTGATTTTCACCAAAAAAACTTAATGATATTGAGACCGGATTTTTAAATTAGTACTAATTGAAAGATGCTCATTCCAGGCAAATATAGCTGAGAAATTCGTCAAAAGCCTAAATTTTCGGCTCTTGTTATGATATTTTATTAAAAAACTTTTTATATTTTTAACTATTATAAATGGCAAAAAAACTTTTAGGGTAGGGGTGGATTTTATAAAAAATTGTAAATGCTAATAAGAAGTAAAATCATCATTAAGTCCGACCCTGCTCGAGATACAACCGCTTTATCTCAACCTTTAAACACCAAAATTTAACAGTATCCATCCCCCTAATACACAAACCTCCCTGTAAAATTTCAGAAATTTTTGATAAAAAGCACAGAAGTTATTAAGCTTCAGACAGAGTGAACAAAATCATGCCACAAATACAACATCCATACATTCAGAAAAAACCCAAATTTTTTTTGCATTTCTCAACACTTCAAGGTCCCGAGTCCAAAAATGTAAAAATCTTGAAGGAGTCGTTTTTTTGACCAATTGCTATACATTTCCTCTGTTATATATAACAGAGCTGGAAAAGTAAAATTAAATAAAATATAAATTTAAGATAAAAATTAGTCTATAACTATTTATTTCATATACTAAATAAATTAATTAAAAACTTTAATTATGTTAATGAAAGTCTCATAACAACATTCTTAATATTTTCATATATAAGAAATGCATATTACATCATAAATACATAAAAACAGCATTGCATGCCAAATTTTACAACTAAAATTTTAAAAAATTGTCTTTTAGTGTTAATCTTGTTAAAAATTAACAGAAAATGACAGTTTTTCTATAATTTTAATTTTAAAAACATCATAAACTTATAAATACAAGTTGTAATTTAAATGTTCCCTTATATTTGAAAAATATGAAACATTAGTATAATAATTGTACAGGATATGAAAGATTTCATGTATGTTGGCATTTGTATGCTGTAACACAAACAGATTTTTCAGGCTGGAAAAAAGCTTGATTGTTCTTAATCGTATTTATCAAATTACATTCAAATAAAGATATTTCAAAATAAGAATTATTTTTATACAAAGTTAAACAAAGTAATAATTTTATTGGCATTAATAAGAATTTTAATTTGATATTATAATTTTACCTAAAACACCACTTGCTGGATATTCCAAAATTCCACCATGATGAAGTTTAAATCCAAAATCATGAAGAGGAAAGCCAAAATCTGTAAGTAAAAATATGCAAGATAACAGTTTAAAATATTTTTCAATATAATCTAAAATTTTCAATAGATTAGTTTTCTATTGATAATCAATTCCATATTTACATGTTACTCGTTGTACACCGTGGTTTTAGGAGACAGAACCATAGTATTGCACTGAAGAGAGACTTAACATAAGTCCGAAATGCATATGTGGAAACAACAAAAGAAGTGTCTAACCTGAAAGCTGTAATGATAGTCTACCGAACTTAATGTCGGATTAAAGAGACAAGACATACATTGAACATAATAACAGCTATCCAAAAGTGATATCCATATTTATAGTATCCATAAGATACAACAGTAATAAATTTTTAAGGAGTCAACAGATAAAACTTTTATCAAGTAACAAACTTTATCTCCTTAAAATTTATTAGCATTGTACTTTTTGAGTGATTTTGTTATCATTCTATTGAAAATTATTCCATATTGCTATAATATTTACAATAAATAAATAAATCCACATTTATAACTGGGGGGAAGTATACACTTATCTAACTTAAAATTTGAATAGATAAATTTACATTTATCTTTGCAAATTTTGTATGTTTTTATTTATTTATTAATAAATATATAATTATATTCCTAAATGTCTGCAAAGGTTTTGTGTTTTATTAATAATATAAATCTTATGCAAGACTTATGTATTTTAGTTGGATGTTTTATTCTGGCAATAATTTTTCATAAAATTACTTGAGTTATTTCTTTAAATTACATTAAGATAGTTTCCTTTATAACTTTATATCAGCAATGGCGGGAGGAATGAGTTGTGCATAATCAAACATTGGAGTAGGTATATGTTTCGGACCTCGTGATACTGCAACCTAAATTGGAGCTTTCTGCAATAACCAACATAGCATAAAAACGAAGTTCGAAATCCAGCAAATCAAATACACAAACTGCTCGGATAGTTAAATCATATCTTACAAGCAATCATTTAAATCTGTTAGTAGCAGATAAAGATAAAAGATTTGTGTTATGCAAAAACCAGGATTTCCTATCAAGATCCAATGAATTCCTTCAAAAATTCCTTTATAACTTGAAAGAACATATAATAAATGTTGATATATTTGAATATTTTTTGACAAGACCATGTCTTGTTTATAAAATCGTACTGCCTCCTGTTCTTATCAGCATAGAGGTATGAAGGAGTACATGTAGAGAGTTGATATTTGGCACGGAGTATTAGGTGCCCAAATCATTTGCGCATAAAAAAGTCCAGACTCATAGGTAGTCAGGGGACCGAGAATCGAGTCAAAATAAAATACAAAATGGCAACCCTCTTCTACAAACAGGCAAAACAGCCACCTCACCCCACCGAAGTCAGGTAGGGGAGAGTACCACCTGCAGTCATTCTAAGAAGTGAATTCTGACCTTAGGTCCAAACACGTAGTTTCTTCTATGTTAAATAAAATTTGTAATCTAATTTTGTAAATTTGGGAGTGCTTCAAATATGACGTTAAAACGGTTTTATGTAGTTACAAGTGAGTTTTTTTTTAACATTTATCTAGTATAGTAAAATCGTAGGACCAATAAAAATTTGAGGTTATATTAGGGTTGTCGTTACATTCGATGACATTATAATTGGGTTAAACTGTATATTGTTTGTGCAAAATAAAAAGAACAATTTTGGACGATACAATAGTCACAGTTATTTTTTTTCAAAAACGGGAACTTTTTGTTGCGCATCGACAAAAATTCAACCCGGACTGACATGCAACAGAGAGAAATTTTGAAATTAGATAGGTTAATTTCATCGAAGATGCATCGTGAATGATCCTGTGGTCATGGCCAGCAAAGTTTGAACAATCGCACCCAAAAGCAGCGATATCAAAAAAGATAGGAGAATTAGAACAAAACCTGCCTTGAGCATCAAAGTGATTCCGTCTCCGAGACATAGTCTTGTTCCAAATACAGTTTTGCCGTTTTACTTGTTAAAAATTGATTCCACAGAGCTAAATTTCATTTTATGTAAATGTCAAATGATTTTTTTTCTATTTATACTTTTAAGTAACAAAGTAAAATCTGATGTAATAATTCCAATTAGTTTACATTTGTTTTTCAGTAAAGGTGAATATTATGAGTTATCAAATGGCCTTAAAATGTTTCCAGTTTTTAAGTCCTAAATACATGTTTCAACTTGTATTAAATGTCAGTCAGTGGCCACTAGAAATCATTTTATCATTAATAACAAGTGGTATTTTGGTCATTTGAAATTGTACAAAAACTATTTCACAAATAACATTTTAAAATTATATATTTTTACTAAGGAAGAAGAAACATAGATTAATCCTTTAAAAAAATTTGAAATACAAGTGTAAAAATAATTTCATTAAATTAGCTTTTGAAATGCAAATTTTATCAGAGTAAAAAAATATAAATATATATTTTATGAAAGTAAAAAAGAAAAACAGGTTAGATTTACCTTAGGTAGCCAAAATGGCAGCGCTTCCTGTTGCCATTTTGAATACTATTCTGTAATGAGAATTAATCAAAATAATGCTACGTGATTTACTTTCTTCAATTATGAGATTGGTAATATTTCAATATTTATTAAATAGACTATATAAAATTACAAAATAATAAAATTACTTACATTATTGATCACTAGTTTCTTTTATATGACGTTTGATTTTTTCCGATGTAGACTCCTTTTTACAAGTAGATTTTCTTTTATCATTCCTATTTTTATCCATTTTATCTGTTAATTTGCCTTTATTTCCATTTTCTTTTTTTCCTTTCTCCTTATTTATAGATACTGGAGGAGAAGGTACACTCTCAGGTTCTTTCCATATTGGTATTTTTCCAGAACCGGGATATATATTACGTAAGTGCTTAATGAAAATATAAAACCTTTCTCCAGGGTTTTTTGACGGCCAATTCAAGAACTTTTTATACATGAACGAATACATATAAGAATCTGAAAGATCCTCTGTATAATGTTTAGGCAAATTTTTCTCATTCTTTAAATAACCCCATAATCTTTTAATATTTTGGGTATGAACTCCTGTAGTCAGGTTCACAAAATTTTCTGAATGATTGACTGTTCTGTGTTCAATATTTATTCCTTCCAATTTATCTATGTTGTTATAACCTTTCCATTCATTAGTGATAACTACACTTCCCGAATTTACAAATTTATATATTATCCAGTTGAGAGTTGTTTCTGAACGGTCATTTACTTGACAAATAAAGCAACTGTTGTCTTCTCTACAAATACCTCCAACTACCCATTTGGTACTTTTTAATTTATGGCCTTTTTCATATTTTCTTTTACATATAACTGTTTCATCAATTTCCACTGTTTTGTCGGGACCTCCAATTTTGAACGAAGTCATATTATACAAAGCAACAAGCATTACAAAACGTATATAATTACACCAATCAACTGCCGCCTTCTTAGAAATTCCTGCAGCAACAGCAGAATTTGTTGAAGTACATTCCAATCCTACATAGTGCCATATAAATGACAATATTGCTGCCCATGAAATTTTACCACATTTTCCTTTAAACGTGCCATCAAAGGCTGAACTGTTATACCTACAGTTATGACATCGCAAAACACATGAATTTCTATCACTTCTATACATTATTTTACATTTTTTTGAACATATTTTACACACGTCCTCGATATGTTGAATTCCTAAACTTACGGCAAATTTAAAATCACTACTAATTCTGGAATCTAATCCTAATTCTGAATATTCAGATTCTAATAGTTGATAGAATTGCCGAGTTGTGCATTTCATCCAAAATTCTTCGGATTTAATATCTAAATGATCCATTATCAGTTTATTAATAGCAAAAAAATCCTAAAAACAGATTATATTTTTTAACAATTATTTGAGTTATTTTTAAATATTAATAAATTAAATGATAAAAATAAGAATGTTAATGTTAATGCACGATAACAATAATACTTCTTCTTCAGTGTTTATATGGAGATTTTAGCTCTTTATAAACTATAATACTTCACTTATTACGTCCTTCTTATTAGACACTACACCATTATACAAACACAACTCCCTCTATGTTAATTGTCACCGAGTGATCTTATTCGAGGTTACAGGAAGTGACGCCATTTTGGCTCTCTAAGGTAAATCTAACCGAGTGGAATTTTATATTAAACTATTAAAAATACATATTCACCATCACTAAGTTGAAGAGTTATTATACGTAAAACGTCATCACAACTCGTATTTTTAGGTTTATTAACAGCAAAAACTCCTTTAAGAACGTCGAATGCTTTCTTTACTTCTTTACGAATCACGTTGTATGCCGACAACATCTTTACACTCACACATACTACAACGCCCTCTGTGATCTTTACAAATCGTGAAATATTTTTATATCACCTTCAAAATTAAGGNTTGACTGATAAAAAATATAATAAACCCCCAAAAATACATATTTAATTAAAGAATTATAGTAATTATGCCACTCCAGCAACAATAATTTGTAATTTATACTGTCATTATTGTTGTTCTATTGCGTTAACTAATGCTATTAATTGTTACAAAGTTGTTACACAAATATTACAGTAATTGAATAATATAACTTACTATTACAGTAACGAGTACTTTAAATTGACTAAAGTATGCATTGATAAAGTAGTATTACAATAAAAATTTACTGTAATGAAGCAATTGATCTGTCTATCATTATTGGTTTACAAATACAGTGGTGGAAACTGCAGGGTGGCCATAATTAAACTTTAATTATTCAGACCCCCCTGTAGCTGCAACAAATAAGCGGATCGTCACCGAAATTTGCGTACAGACTACGCAAAGGGTACGAAACAAAACACAATAGATAACGAAGACCAACATTAAAGTGGCATCTTAATTTTTTATTTAAAGCATTACGAATAAAGTCAGCTGTTTATCTTCTGTTCATTGCCTCCGAATTTTTACACCTTAAAAATAGGGCACACATTAAACAACGTACCTTATATCAGTAAGGGGCATGCCTCTGTATTAAGGGTGGAACGAATAAATGCATTTTTATTGTATTTTTACTATTGTTTTGTGTATTTTCCTGTAATGCATCTCCTAGCGGAAGTTTTTTGAATTAATTTTTTTTTTGTAAAATCCTTTTTCCCACCCTTTGGGTAGTCTGTATGCAAATTTTGGTAGCAATCCGCTTATGGGTATGCAAATACAGCGTGGTCTGAGTAGAGAAATTATAATTACGCACATCCTGTACTGTACATTTGCAGTATATGACATTTACTAGAATTTTTTTTTGTTATTGTAATAGTAGTTACTGTAGTCTGTTACTCTTGAAAATTGTCTTAGTAAACAATAGCGTAACTAATCTAATCTACTACTACAATAATAAAAGTTAATGCATTTCTTGTTACTATAGTAGTATTTTATTACTGTAATACTATACAAGTCGACCTCCCTATAACACTGTTGATAATTCCGTTTTATATGAATTCCATGTTGTACGAGTCACTTAGATTTTACAAATACGTGTGCCGGGCTGTGAACGGCTCACGTATTTGTAAAATCTGAGTGACTCGTACAACATGGAATTCATATAACACGGAATTATTAACAGTGTTATGGGGGGTCTACTGTATATCGTTTATTTCTTTATAGTCTACGGATTAAAAATCGCCCCAATTAAGATTTGTTTGTGGATACTGTTTTACGTTATAAATCGATAGCTTAAAGGAATGCGATATGCTATATATTTAGGGACACCACAAATTATAGTTAATACAATCGACATTAAACTTAATATCGGACTATTAAATGTTAAAAACTGGTAAACTTTAATAAGTAATTTTTAAATACAGATAAATATCTTAACACCAAATATAGATTTAATCATTTTTTACACGTGTTGGAGATAAGAGCATCCGCAATTTTTCGAATCGAGATGTGAACACATGACTAGAGTATACGTGAACACGACTTTTCCTAGTCTATATACCTCAATAATAATTTTCCACGCATAAAAAGTAAAAACTTGTTCTGTTCAGGACTGCATTAATGCGTGGATATAACCGTTTATGATCTCGTCATCATCTTTACTTAATACGGTAGAGCATCGATTATCCGACTCAATTGGGGACTGGGATTGGTCGGATAATTGAAAATTCGGATAACCGAAAAGTATGAAAAAATCCATTATTAGTATAGTATATTATTATATCCCATGTAATTAGTATATTAGTATATCGCTATTAACCTACTTCGCGTTGAATTTTCCTCCATGTTAAGCCTATCAAATTTTTTAAAAAAATAATGATCGTCGCTATTGTATCGTTAAAAATTAGAAAATTAAGCCTCGTTTAAATACTGGCTCCCTTTCATAGTCGATCCAGTGTTGCCAGCTAAAACACGTAAAAATAATATTAAAGTAGCCAAGACATAGCCAAATATTGTAGCACCACACATCACTAGCGGACATTTGAATTTGCCGACTAGAACGCGGTCGGTTAACCGAGGTGACGGTTAATCGGGGGGTCGGATAATCGAGGCTCTACTGTAGTATATAACTTTATTAGAAACCAATTACTACTTTTAAACTGTTGAGTTACATTTAATTGCATTCTTATCTTTAATATTCGCGCCTGACCTATAGGCTTGGAATTTTCTGTATTTTCTTCACGTATATAATCCCAAAATAGGGGACATTATCCCATAGAAATCCTCCCTGAAGTACTGGCAGATCGCCCGTATTGTTGCGTTATTCTTCATACTAGTTTATACAGTTATAATTTCGAAATAATTTGTATTAATTTAATTGTTGTTATTTATAACGATTAGTAACTGGAAACAAATTTTATATATTAAAATTATTCATGATTAAACTAGAAACAAATAATGAGAATAATAATGTTTTGTTAAAAGTTTATCCTTTGCATTTTTTTTTGAAATAAATGGAAATATAAAATCATAATAATGTTATTTAAACATTGTCGGAAGGGCATTTTTAGTGTAATAATTATAGGAAACGTTATTTTGCAACCTGTTCCTTTATTTGGTCGGATATACCCGGCAAAGCTCCACCTATTTTATCTACCAGGTTGCAGTACATATGCTGGCAGGAAGCAAAGAGATAATTCACAATTCATCCTTCCGCTTCTATTTAATCCACTCCTATAATATTATCATTAGAAATATTTCATTTATTATGCATAATTTTCAATTTTTTTTCCGTATCTTTTATTTTCATACATAATTTTATATTAATAATTTCAAATAAACTTTCCGTTACTATTATTTTGCTCTGTAATTAACGTTTAGATTTCGGGGAAAAAATATCAATTTACTGTAAAATTTTTTTATATTTTTCCCCCTAATCTAAATTCCCTATTTTCGTAGGGAAAAAATATATATAATTGATTGATTAATTGGCTTAAACCAGGTATCATAATATTATAACCTGTATTTTGGCAGCAATTGAGCGAATATAACGGATCCATTTCTTCATTTCTTCATTCCATTCCTCTAGTTCAGAATTTCATGAGATGGTTTGAATTAGATTCGAATCCTTTATAACTCAGCTTATAAACACTAAAAGGGTTTATCATATCCAATGCAGATAAGACCAATTCTACAATGGGAATGGCTTTATGGTTAAGAACAAGATCCGATGTTTCTGGGCGTCATCCTTCATCAATTTAAGGTTGATTTAAATCTTTTTTATGAGAGATAACGTACTGTGTACATGTGTGGAATATTTCATGATATTTTGGCCGGGTAGTAAGGAAGGGAATCGACAAATCCGGAACAAATTACCATAAAAAAATTCCTAGAGTTGCTTTCCCGGATCCATAAACATATTAATATAACCTATATTCTAAATAAGAGATAAGAATCAAGTAAAACACCATTTACAGGAAATACAAACTACACTTCCGTTTAAACTCGATGCCAAATGCCAATTTTGAAAGTACCATCGTTGTAAATATTGATAAAATAAAAATATTATATGGTATCACATTGCTGTTCATCCAGTAGTTGATCAGGAAATTCCCAAGTCTGACCACTGATGATCCAATTGTCGACCACGCAGTTTTTATTCTGTATAAATTCAGTTGGATAATTAGAAAATTCAACATAATTCACATGAACACTTGTATGAATTATACACAAACATCACATTTTTGCAGCAACATCATAAGAGGTTCCTGCTGTTGATGAACATTTCAAATCGTACCATCTGCTACAATAGTCGCAGCCAAAATCCTTTAGTTTATCCATTTCTGTGTTACTATCTAAACCCTCGGCACAACTTGCACACATTTGTTTCTCAGTGATTTTAACTTAATTTGTATTTAGTTTTACGTTTACCTCTTCAGTCACTACATTTCCTGAAAAATCTTTCAGGTTTTTTTATCAGTCTTTCCATTTTCCTATTTCCTTATTCTTCTGTTTTGCTTGCTTTTGTTATTTCCTTTTTTAATTGATCGTGGCTAATACAAATAATGAAGAAATCCAGGATACACGTTTCCATGTGATGATATATATGGAATTAAGAGAGCTCAATAATAGGCATTTTGTAGAAAATACGCACATGTCATTAAGAATCTAATGATGTTTCCTATGAAGATAGCTCGCCTAAACCTGTTCAGATGGACTGATTATGCACGGATTTTGACTTACATGATCGACTACTGGAAACGGTCGGCAATAGGAACCCCTACCATACTCAAAATAATAATTTTTGTTTATTTTTATCAACAGTATTTTTAACTTTTTTTATTATTAAATTCTTAACGCTCTATAGACAAAACAATGGTGTTTTTTCATAATCAGATTCACAATGGAGCGACTGGATGGAGAGGATCCTGATGCTGATCCTCTTGATCCTGATCCAAACCATTCATAAAAATTACCATTCATAAAAAATAGTAAGCTAAATATCGTCATTGACAAAATTAAAAAATAATCTTATCGTCCATAATATTCTGTTGCTTCATATGGACAGATCAAATTAAATTCAATGTAAAGTACAGTACAAGACCCTAATACTGTATTATTCTTACTTTATCTATTTTCTTCCGTGTAACCCATATTAATTTGCAAACTATTTTATTTATGAGTAATTATTTAGATTAATCAAATGATTAGTCACATTTTTTTATATTAAATATATGATTAATTTACTATAAAATGTTTATGTTAAGTGATTCGTTTATTAAATTTCTTCCTAGTCAATGTACGACGTGTAATTTTTGTAATTATTTTCAATTATATCTATGATTAAACAATTACTTTCAATNGTTTTTTGACGGCCAATTCAAGAACTTTTTATACATGAACGAATACATATAAGAATCTGAAAGATCCTCTGTATAATGTTTAGGCAAATTTTTCTCATTCTTTAAATAACCCCATAATCTTTTAATATTTTGGGTATGAACTCCTGTAGTCAGGTTCACAAAATTTTCTGAATGATTGACTGTTCTGTGTTCAATATTTATTCCTTCCAATTTATCTATGTTGTTATAACCTTTCCATTCATTAGTGATAACTACACTTCCCGAATTTACAAATTTATATATTATCCAGTTGAGAGTTGTTTCTGAACGGTCATTTACTTGACAAATAAAGCAACTGTTGTCTTCTCTACAAATACCTCCAACTACCCATTTGGTACTTTTTAATTTATGGCCTTTTTCATATTTTCTTTTACATATAACTGTTTCATCAATTTCCACTGTTTTGTCGGGACCTCCAATTTTGAACGAAGTCATATTATACAAAGCAACAAGCATTACAAAACGTATATAATTACACCAATCAACTGCCGCCTTCTTAGAAATTCCTGCAGCAACAGCAGAATTTGTTGAAGTACATTCCAATCCTACATAGTGCCATATAAATGACAATATTGCTGCCCATGAAATTTTACCACATTTTCCTTTAAACGTGCCATCAAAGGCTGAACTGTTATACCTACAGTTATGACATCGCAAAACACATGAATTTCTATCACTTCTATACATTATTTTACATTTTTTTGAACATATTTTACACACGTCCTCGATATGTTGAATTCCTAAACTTACGGCAAATTTAAAATCACTACTAATTCTGGAATCTAATCCTAATTCTGAATATTCAGATTCTAATAGTTGATAGAATTGCCGAGTTGTGCATTTCATCCAAAATTCTTCGGATTTAATATCTAAATGATCCATTATCAGTTTATTAATAGCAAAAAAATCCTAAAAACAGATTATATTTTTTAACAATTATTTGAGTTATTTTTAAATATTAATAAATTAAATGATAAAAATAAGAATGTTAATGTTAATGCACGATAACAATAATACTTCTNGTGAAGAAAACCCATAAAAGTTTACACGGAATGGATGTGATGACAATTCTGGCATTAAAAGTATATCGTAAAGTTAGTAAGAAAATATTATTGTAAGAAGATAAAGTAATTGAAGTTGGCGGTACAGTCTCTAGGGAAGAGCAAGAGAAGTATAAATATTATCCTTTTTTGTAAAATTTGATCTTGATGAATTCTATCCACCAGACTGAATGGATAAAAACCACTGAACAGTGATTCATTGGTTGAGGGTTTGAGCCTGAAGAAAGCACGTGGAAAATTTCGGGTTTTCTTCATGTTTCTTACACCTAAATAGAAGCCCGCTTCAGTTTTTCATAGAAAGTCCTTCCAAGTGGGTAGATCTTCCTTGCCTTCCATCAATCCATCAAGATTCTGATGCATTACGATACTTAAATTGCCGGATATTATTGTCAAATAAATGTTAAACTGTTCTTTCTTGCACTTTTTTAAAATTTAATTGAAATATTTCTATGTCAACAGCTACATTTGCAAATATAAGAGAATAGCAATTACTTAGAAATCACACGCCGATAATAATAACAGCACAAGAGTATAAAAAAAGAATATAAAAAAACTAATTTAATTAATTTTATGATTGTAGACTGTAGACATAAGATTAATCATATCATTTTATTTCGATTTATATTGTTATTTTTTAATGCTTCATATAAAAAAAAAGAATTTCCATATATACATATATACGTATGTACTGTATATATATATATGTATATTCACAACATTTTTATTTTATAGATTAGAATATCACACGTAAAAAAAATTGAATTTCTCTTTCTAATAAAAGAAAATCACAGTTCTTATGTAAAATTTTCTGATGGACGGATGTAATAATCCAATCAAGGATTGGTTGAAGATGAAGTCACTTCCTGACGTATACGATCTGTTCCGTTGTTTGTTGACTGTGCAGGGTTCACCTGATCCTCCGGATAAAAAGGTTGATTTTCCTTTAATGGAAAAAAATATATATATTTAGAAAGCAATTTACATTATTAAAAATAAATAAATACTTTAATCGATCGTTACCTGTTTTAAACGCCTCCATTTTGCTCTTCTATTTTGGAACCAAGTCTTCACCTTTAAAATATTACCATTTTATTAATTAATATAAAACAATGTTTTTTTTTTATATAAGAAAAATTATTGTATTACTTACTTGTCTTTCTGTTAATCTTAAAATATTAGCCATTTTTTTCCTTTCGGGTGGTGAAAGATATCTCTGAGCTTTAAACATATTTTCTAATTTGCACGTTTGTTCTGTAGAAAATCTAATTTGTCCTCCTTTCCTTTTTTGTTGGTTCCTATGAAGTATATGACTCCACAAAACCGGACGAGGTGGTTCGGCTTTAATAACAAATATTATATTTAATTATTCATTTTGAATAGTTATAACTTGTCCTAAAGTTTAAAAAAAAAAAAAACCCTTTCCTCCATTACTAAATAGTAAGAAATTTTTTTTTAAAAAAAATAAGGCCCTGAGCTAATGATTAGTCACATTTTTTTATATTAAATATATGATTAATTTACTATAAAATGTTTATGTTAAGTGATTCGTTTATTAAATTTCTTCCTAGTCAATGTACGACGTGTAATTTTTGTAATTATTTTCAATTATATCTATGATTAAACAATTACTTTCAATTATATCTAAATTTTGAATGAATTAAAACAGAGAAAATCACTAATTTATACAATAAACTTTGGATTCTAAACGATCCCGATTGAAGTCAAGGATTAGGATACCACATAGTTCTTTAATGGTTATTTTATTTCATATTTTAGAAATAAAATATGAAAAATATAGAAAATCGTTTTTTACTTTTATAAATTTCTATTCTCAAATTCTCATCGTTATTCTTTGGGAAATTATTACCGCCGGAAACTAGAGTAGGGGATTATTGAAATTAGATTGGTGTTAGAAAGCAATTCAACATTTCGGCAATCTTTCAAGGGAACTTTGTACAGGAATCTTCAAAGGAATCTTTGTACAGCCTCTCGGTAAGGCCGTACAAAGGAATTAGCTCCTATTTAGATTTTAGACACGTGAAGAAAACCCATAAAAGTTTACACGGAATGGATGTGATGACAATTCTGGCATTAAAAGTATATCGTAAAGTTAGTAAGAAAATATTATTGTATGAAGATAAANCTAAAGTTTAAAAAAAAAAAAAACCCTTTCCTCCATTACTAAATAGTAAGAAAATTTTTTTTTAAAAAAAATAAGGCCCTGAGCTACTATGTTATTGTTACATGAAGTAAAAGTTATAAGTAAACTCTTATCTGTTTAGAGTTATAAAGTAATCTATCTGTTAACTTGGAAGTTTATCCTTCATTTATAGTAAAATCAAATCGATAAATATATTTAAATATTGATTTTTCTTAAATTTTATTAGACAGTATAGCGTATAATAAGAAGGAACAGAGATCGTTGTTGGCCAACAACTTTTATTTCCTTTATGACAAATTTTTTGTCCTCTTTTGAGTCGTATAACTTCCGTTCTAAGTCAGATAATCAGTTTATGAACTTTAGGCGGATGAAACTAAAAGAAAGAAAGCAATATTTTCCTTCCTGTTGTTTATGTATGGTTAAATAGTTCATTCTGAGGTTACAGTTTATTTTTCAAAACAATGATAACCTTTGATTAAATTTGCAATATTAATTTATGACTTAAATCTACTATTTCTCATAATTAACTAAAGAAGTATTTATATATATATATATTTGAATAATTTTGTTTAATATAAGTTCGATGAATTGAATTCGTATTTTTTTATTTCATAATATTAGAATCTAAATTTATATATTTTAAGAATTCAAAGATAGAAATTTAATGGAAAAAGATACAGATGTTGTTCACACTTCTTAGAAATTATTGACAACCACGTCTTAATTATAAAGAGAAAGAAGAGATAAAGAGAAAAATTATCTTTCTCTTGAAGAATCGAGAGATTAGTTATGAAGCCATTAAAAACTTCTGTTAAAAATTTTTCACGTGTGACATTTGAAATCCATCATTACAGAAAAATAATATTATCCTTTAAAAATCAATATGTAATTAAAATTTATATGTAATTAAAGGCTCTCTATAAGTATTAAAAGTGCCTTTTTGCATATTCCTTAAGAGTTAGAGCGAGCTTATAATAGGATCTCTCATATTGTGAGGAACAGAAAAGATTTACACATAAGCGAAATAAATTACAGTTTAGAGCCTAATATTTTAAAATTTGTTATTGTTTTGTGAAGAGGAAGAGCGACTTACACGTTATAATTTAAGCCACAACAAATCGAAATCCAGCTAACTCAATGGAGACAGAGAGAGCAACTATGAAAATAGATTAGAACCAGGCATTTTTTTTAAAATTTATTATATATTTTTTTAAAGATATAGTTTAAAATAATGAAAAGATTCTTCAATTTTTTTTTTATTAGTTGAGAAGTGTTGGAACACACTCAGATCTATTCCATCGGCAAAGTGAAAAACAAATATTCCCTTTCATGAATGCCGGATATGTTTCTGTCGCTGATTGTTGACAATAGCTATTGGAAGTGTCCATTTGCAAGCAATTAAAAGCCATTAGCGAAAAATTACAAGTAGGTTATAAGAGAGTGGAGTAAAGTACTTCATCAACTTGTGATAAAATTCGATTGTCGGGATTTTAGCTCAGTTTTACTACGAAACTGAGCCAAAATTGTAAGCTAAAACAAGTTACAGTTTAGGGCCTCTCATTACGAGTCTTATATCTTAGGCCTTTAAAGTCTGTATTATTATTTAATAGAGGGAAAAGATCTATTATTATATTTTATGGCTTTCTAACTCGTCTAAGTCCAATCCTGGAGGAAACTATTCAACTTAAATTTTAATGAAAACGGATTGATTATTCATCTATCGTTCGATTTTATGAGAGATTTTAGATAACGTCATCATCTATTATCATTTTTTTTTTACAATTTAAAATGAATAAATTAAAATTAATTAATTAATTACATAAATTTATATCTTGATGAATTCTATCCACCAAACTGAATGGATAAAAACCACTGAACAGTGATTCATTGGTTGAGGGTTTGAGCCTGAAGAAAGCACGTGGAAAATTTCGGGTTTTCTTCATGTTTCTTACACCTAAATAGAAGCCCGCTTCAGTTTTTCATAGAAAGTCCTTCCAAGTGGGTAGATCTTCCTTGCCTTCCATCAATCCATCAAGATTCTGATGCATTACGATACTTAAATTGCCGGATATTATTGTCAAATAAATGTTAAACTGTTCTTTCTTGCACTTTTTTAAAATTTAATTGAAATATTTCTATGTCAACAGCTACATTTGCAAATATAAGAGAATAGCAATTACTTAGAAATCACACGCCGATAATAATAACAGCACAAGAGTATAAAAAAAGAATATAAAAAAACTAATTTAATTAATTTTATGATTGTAGACTGTAGACATAAGATTAATCATATCATTTTATTTCGATTTATATTGTTATTTTTTAATGCTTCATATAAAAAAAAAAAATTCCNTTAAAAGATAAATAAATGAATAAAAATTCAAATTATTAATATAAATCTATAATTAGAAAATACTCTCTGTGATTAATCTTTTTTCTGTATGATTTTATTAAAGAAAGAAAAATACAGGGTGGCCCAAAAGTTAGTTGACCAGTTTTTTTAAGTGTTGTAATTGAATAAATCTTAGTTTTAATAACTTTTTAACAGCATAATATTATATATTTTTTCTATAAATGATAATTTTCGTTTAAATGCAAGGCATTGTATATATTTTTGAGGATATGTGAAACACACTAAAATTACTACACTTCCGAAAATCGTAGCTTATTCCTACGTTTCCTTTCGTTATATAAATCACTTCCTTATCTATGATAGATTAATAGATTTATAATATAGGCCTTGCTTGTGCCATAGACATTTCCTAAATATGGAAATAAATAAATAAATCATAACAATTTATTTTAATTAAAATTTCTGTTTTATGTTTAGAATAAGATTTTCTTTACTTAAAATAAATAATAAACATTTCTAAAAAAAAAAATTGTTAATTATTTAAATTTAATTTAAAAACAGTTAAAATTAATATTGATTTCGAGCAGTTTGGCAGGGACGAGAGTCGATTTACAAGGTATACACAGCTTAGGGCTTTACCATGCGAAACAATTAGAGCTTTACGCTTTTAAATGTATTATTATTTAATGAAGGTGAAAGGGTCTGGCTAAATAAGCTACAATACTTTAAACCGTATCCTTATATCCTATGTTATGAGAATACAGTTTAAGTCCTGAATTGTAAGGGTCTTATAAAACTTTATACCAAACCATTCTATTTAAAAAAAAATCAACCTTGTATTATAAATTCAAAGATCTAAGAGAAATATTTTAAGAATTTTGAATAAAAATTCATATTTTTAATAATAAATATTCGTTAAGTTTGATGAAAATACTCACGCCTTAGCTTTTCTTCACTAACTTGAACGGAGAGCTCGCAATCACGTGGGGACTTTGTGGGAAACACAAATGCGGATGTCCCAGTTGGAGTATTGTTTGGACTCATCATACACAAATGATTTGAATCTAAAGAATAAGGCGATCTTACAGGAGAATATGGGAAAGATGTCTCCGAAGAAGTAAAGTTAAATTTGGCAAAACTGGAACAAAGTGGCGATAAGAGAATAGGCATTGGCCTATGTAAAGATTTAACCGGTGAATAAAGATCCACAGATATGCTCTTTTTCGTAGTTACTTCATCCGGTTTCAGTATATCGTCGATCATAAATGACGTTTGGCCCACAGGTTTCATTGGTTTCGATAAATCTTTAGCTTTACAGTATATCCTGCAGGGTTCAATCATAATGATGTCTTTCATAGATAATCAAATCTGCAATTAAAAATATATTATATATATATATATACATTTTAAATAAAACAATAATTATAAATTATACATAAAATAGTATAATTTTTTAATTATTAAGCTAAGTAATCCATTCGTTTAAATTAGTTGAATTAGCGCACGTATTTCTTCCCTTATAAAATAAAAGAATAATCTTTAAAATATTAAATTTTTTTTGCTTAAATTTGAATTTTAAACATAGACACAACCTAATTCGAATTTGTCTTTGACTCTTTCTTCCACTTTATTATAATAAATATAAAGGCGTAAAACCTGAAGACTTGTGTAAATTAAGCCTTGAGTCAATACAAAATTATATATTTAAACTTAAATTATACAAAATATTTGAAAACAGTAAGAAAAAAAATTTTTTTTAAACTTACTTTTCCATAATACGAATACAACAAGGAAAAAAAATTTAATAAAAAAAAAAAAAGTCAAATTTTATGAGAAACGAATTATGATGATGTTTTACACAGTTAATATCTCGTCTGAATGTTATCTTTTCAGTTATTTCCTTTTACTAAGGGTTTTGAGGGTGGATAAAACGGAAGTTAGCACACTTCGTACGTAACGGGACTTCTCCCAATCACGTGCTCGATTACATCCAATAGAATGTTTCTAATTTAAAACTAGAAAAACTTTTAAAAATCTGATACTTTTTATAACTTCTTTAATTGATTTTTTTAATATTTAAATAATTTTTTTTTTAAATATAATCTTTAAATCAATAGTAATTCATTGAGTGTATTTAATATTTTTTTTAATAAAATTACTTGGCGCCATCTCTTATCAATTTTAACAAAAAAAAAAAAAAACAATTTTTTT